GGTGAAAAGCCCGCCAGTTTAACATTTACCAATTCCAAGCGCAACATGATTGCGCTCCACAGTGGAATGTCAGTCGAATATAATCAGCTGACAATCTATTCGAGGGAGGTTCCAGGCCGTGTCAGTGCAGGTACGCAGTGCTGGCCAAGTTCTGCTTCATTGTTCCCATCAGATCAGGTAGCTTCAGTGAGTATGGTTCATCATTTAGTTCCACGTCCCCCTGCTTATGCAACATCAAATCTGTGAATGCACCATGTACCCATGCCAGTCATGAAGATGCAGTGTACAGTCTTCGCAGAACCACCAACCCTAGCTTAAAGGCGGGGACACCGTGTCTCTCGCTCTCGCTCTCACTCTCTCTGTCTCTCTCTCTCTCTCTCTTTTTCCCTGCGCGTCTTCAGCTGTACACAGAAGCATCTCCGAAGCTTGGCTGCTGTCGAATTCATTCGCCATGTGTAATTGTCAGAAACCACGGTGGCTACAGGAACGGAGAAACAAGGTTCAGCAAAACCCGGTGTAATGAGTTGCATCATGCCATATTAAGGAACCAGACTCAGTAAGTAGGAGTGCGAACGAGGCGAAAAGCAGATTATGACCAGAAGAAAGCTGCATTCGATGAGGCCTTGTGACGAGACACCTGAGCTGACGAAGCGCATCAGACCGCATGCCAGGCACAGAAGATGCGAGCTAGCGCGAAGCAAGAAGGAACTGCTGCTCGAAAGTCTGGCGAGATAGAAGGTTCGACACCAGCCAAGTGCTCTTGGCTCGCGAGCAAAGTCAGTGAAGCAGGCCGTGGAGGAAGAAAAGCTGAAGCTGTGGACATATCAGAGGACGAAGGGGTTTTCCGGCCCGGATGCTAAAGTGCCCATCAATGTTTACAAGGTTGTGCACCTGCTCACCGAGACAATCGCAGGACCTCATGCTGCAAGAACCAAAGGAGCCGAAGGACTCCTCTACCAATTGTGTGTGGAGTCATGACGTTGATCCCAAGCATCTTTGTGCATAGCATGATGCAATACGGCACATGCTTCGTGTCAATCGAGGACATCTCTGAAGAAATCGATCCAGAGGCGCCCTGCTTGTTGAAATAACAATCCAGACCAGCCGGCTTGCAGCAGTGCTGACACGTTTCGACATTTGTGCGCCCGTCGTGCTCGCCCGCCTGCAGTTCACCTTTCACTCGGCACGAGCCCTCGGCGTTTGGCAGGAGGATTGCGCAAGCTGCAAGCTATTGGGTTTCTAAGTGTTGAACATGCAGGGAGTGAGCGTCAAATTCAACAGAGCCTGCAACACAGGACATCGACGAACTAATCAACAGCGCCAAGAAGACCGCTGATAGTTGGATGGTCGAGGGTCTCAGGACCTCAGTGCCCGTGATAGAGCTTGAACTACAGAGGATAGAGGTTGGGGGTTGGGAGGCTTTTTGGGGCGTAGCTTAGGATGGACGAATGGATGAATGGCTGGCTGGCCGGCTGGCCGGCTGGCCGGCTAGCTTGTACGGATTGATGCAGGAGCAGATGCATGGATGAGTGGATGGATGAGATGAGATGCGGTGAGGTGAGATGAGATGACAGAGGTGAGGTTCGGAGCTACATCGCTGCTCTATATGCCTTCGGGACTCTCGTTCTCTAGTTTAGCTCTTTGAGTTTCTGGTGGTTTGCATCTTCCGATGTTTTTGCTTTTTCTGGTGGGAGCCTTCCCGTGCTTTGAACAGGAGAGGAATCGGGATCCATCACGAGGGCCTGTCGTCTGGGGCTTTTTGCATGGAAAGTGTCAAGTGAGACCCTGCTTAACTGCTAAGGAGAAGCTACAGAACTGTTGTGGAGGTTCTTTTCCGTCGTGGGCTCCATCCTCGGCGCTGAGACTTGCAGACCGGGCACATATCCTTTTTCATTTGCCATTCCCGGATTGTGGCAGGTATTTGCGGCTTGTGTTTGCCACCGGCACTTTGGCGCTCGGCATCAACATGCCGTTCCTCGGCCAGTTTGAACGGTTTGGGTTATGCCGGTGATGCCAACATGCAAATGAAGGTGCCGATCGACGATCTTCTGTGGAGACTCGCTGGACTGGTTTGCACAATTGCTGGTGCAAGCGAGTTGGCTCAAAATTGCCTTCGGGGTCTAGTTATCGTGGGCTTTGGCAGGTTTGGAGTGGTTCTTAAGATTTTCTTGTCCGGTTCAGCATCAGCATCTCTTTGGCTCAGACATGTTCTATTGACAAGCATGCTTGAATTGGGGTTTAGTAGGGTGAATCGTGAGTGTTTATGGTTTGATTATGGGGGAGGAGCAAAAAGTCCTACTTCACGCTCGTCGACAATAGGATGCGTCTCTACTCCAATGTGGTTCGGCGCCATGTGCGTGCATTCAGCCAGACGCATTCGATCCCGTCGCATATGCGTGCCGTGGTCTGGAGGGGCAATCCAGACCCGGGGAAAATGAGACTGGAAAGCTTGGGAACTCCTTCGCCGAAGGACGGAGAGGTGTTGGTGAAGGTTCGTGCCTGTGGGGTCTGCCACACAGACCTCCACTGTATCAAAGGGGAGGTGCCCTTCCCTGCTCCGGCGGTTTTTGGACACGAGATCAGTGGAACAATCCTTCAACACGGTAATGGCGTTGACAAGACAAGACTGCCTCTTGGCGGTCAAGTCGCTTGTACTTTCATCATGCCCTGCGGTTCCTGCTATCACTGCAAGCGTGGGGAGGAGGATACCTGTGCGCCATTCTTTGCCTTGAACAGGCTCAAGGGACAGCTCTTTGATGGAAGCACACGCCTGTACCAAGAAGGCAGTCCTGTGGCAATGTATTCTTTTGCAGGTTTGGCTGAATATGCCGTCGTTCCACAGACTGCCGCATTCTTGCTGCCCCCTGTCCTAGCAGAGGAAGCATTCTCCGAATCTGCTTTGCTGGGCTGCGCTTTTTTTACGGCCCTCGGTGCAATCCGCAATGCCGCCGAGCTACGCAGTGGCCAGTCAACTGTCATCGTTGGTGCCGGCGGTGTTGGGCAGGGCATCGTTCAGTTGGCGAAGCATCTCGGCGCGTCACCTGTGATAGCGGCACTTCTGCAGCATTAAGACTGACAGCCTCTTGTGGTGCAGGAATGCCGATGACGCATGTCTCCGGGCTTGCCACCGGCACACATGTGGTAACAGTATGCAACACGCACAACAAATCCACGATATCGATTAACCCTCAAGCCTGCCGCAGCTCCGCGGCAAGCGAAGTCGATGTCTCGGATCGTTTATGGTGCTTCGTCCATGTTACCTTCTAATGCTTCCTAGTACCTGTTGTTGCTTCCATCTTTCCGAATTCCCTCTTTGTGACCTGCAGAGGGCAGATGCCCACCTGTTCCTGCCTGGCGATGAAGGAGTTGAGGAAAGTCCTGGGAAGGGGGACCTCGAACAAGCTGCTGCAAGAGCCTTCGCTTCACTTCCCTCGAGTTGTATAACCAAGGTCGACATCAGCGAAGAGGCGCTAAGCCTGGCAAGAAGCTTGGGTGCAGACCACTGCATCAATGCACGCCAGGACCCCTCTTCCGTGTGCAGGGACAGTACCATTGTTTCATTGTTCGTGCAGCACGAGAACAGCAAGCTGAGACATCACGACCTCGGAGGAGTGATCGCACGAAAGTGTCACTTCATCCTCTCCTGTCGACTGTACTCAGCGTCCTGTGCACTGCTCTGTGCTGGGCGTTTTCCTTGATCTTGTCACGGTCTGCTGCTACATCTGCGTGACAGGATATCAACCGACAAGTCAAATTATCATCAAACGTTGAGTCATCTTCCCGGCACAGTGGCCTCAACTCGGCTCTGGTTGTCGTGATTGTTTTCTTGTCTTATTGACTTCCCGGCTGTCTGGCCTCTCAACTCTATCACAGGCCGTGTGTGTTCCGTGGGTCTCGGGGATGCAGATACCTTGCCGCACAGACAACGAAGCCCACAAGTGAAACAACACGAAAACCACAATGCTCACATCAACATGAACGACAGCCGCAACAGCAACAGCAGCCGCAGCCGCAAGCGCAGCATCAAGAACACGAAATGAGAACAGCAGCAGCTACAACAGCAGCAGCAGCAGCAATTTTTCAATTGAACGCGGCGCGAGCGTGCTCTGCAAATAGCGGGCGTCTTGCCTGGCCTGACACCCGGTGAAACTGTTGTGGCTGATTCTGCACTCCAAAAAGCGTCTCTCTTAACTTCGGTAGGCCTAGACAAGCCCAAAGACTCAGGAAGATACTGAAGCTGAAGCTAAAGCTGGAAAATAGACAACCTCCGACACCCTCGATGTGAGCCAATGCGTCCGATGCTCACGAACCAACGACTGATGGGTCGTACTCAGAGCCAGCAGAGCGTCTGAGCCGGGTCGCCGAGTGCCAGTCTAGTGGCGTCCCACACTTGGTCACTCTCAGACGAAGGCGATGGGCCGTAAGGAGCTTGGGCGTACCTGGATAACATCATCTGTGAGTCAACTCTCTGCACACGGCTCGGAGACATGGGACTTGCTGCCCTTGGCTTGGCTGGAGTTGCTGTTTTGCGTCAATGCTGCAGGCGCAAGTGGCTGCGCATATGATACGGCTAGCGCTACTGTAACAGGCGAGCAAATCAGTTAAGAAGAAGCTGCTGTGCAAATGTAAAGACCTTGCACCTAGGAAGGTGCGCGTAGAAGCCACGTGCTCCTGCCGTTAGCACCAGACTACTCAGCACTTAAGCAGCTTGAAAAAGAAGTGCGAGCAATAGCCGTGGCCTCGGCTTTGCTCTGAAGTGCTTGAGGGCTGTGCCCTAGCATGCGAGGCTGTGCCTTTGCTGAACTCTGTGAAATTCAGCGGCGTCGAGTAGACTGTGAAGGCTGACTCGACCAGGTCCCAAAAGATCGACGATTGTCCTGAGAATCATCATCGTAGTTCGACCAATCCTGGTCCCAGCGCCATGATGACCACAATCCTTCTCCGCCCCCTGTACCTGAGGAATACGAAGACGTGTCTTTGGGCTTACTGGCATTGTGGTGCCATTGCTGCGCCTTCTTGTGTCGATCCGAAATTCCCGTATCTGGAGTGGCCTCCGCATCGTCTATAATGCGTACCCTCACGTCTGGGGCCTTGCAGCGGATCATGCGGGTATGCAGACCAGCTTCTTGGACCGAATGGTTGTACACCGTGACAACCATGGAGGCCATAATATCAAAGCACTTCCAGTCATTAGCAAAATATTTGGTCATGTCAGGATGCCACCACATTTGAGAGAAGTCGGGCCGTCGCGGGCTGTCGGATGCTTTGGACAGGGTCGTCAGCCACTTGATTTGAGAGAGGCCAGATCACTCATTGGGCAAGCTCGCCCTAGCAGTTTGCCCCCGTGTTTTGCTGGTGGCATCACGTTTGCTCTAGACCTGAGCCAGGCCTTCGATACGGTTTCCAGACAAGAAATCATTGATCTGCTGGCCGAACAGAAAAACCGACGCTGACACAGTCAGACTGGTCCAAGCGCTACATGATCGCTCCAAATACCGCATTTTGACGCAAGGCGAGTCGGCATCCGGCGGCTTGCCCGGCTTCGGTATGAGGCATAGATCCGCGTTCAGTAGGTCTTCATGCAACTGTTCTGTGTAAAAGGAGTTGGTCATGGCATCGGCTATCTCCTGACTGCAGAGGCGCCAGGCAGCAGCCGGAGCTGAGCCCTTCGGTACCCTTGCCAGGCTTGATCGAATGGATGTGCTTTGCAAGAACAGTGGTGTCCAGCACGGGATGGCGTCCCGTCGTTGGCAGCAGCGGTCTATGGGCAGCAAACATCCCCTCTGCATGATGTCTCAGTTCCCTGAGTTCAAGTTCTTCAGCCGGAGACAGGAGGAGGTGCCCCGACGAGCTCTTTAGCTGCGCCCGGCGAGCTGGCTGCCACGGGCGAAGGAGCTGCGGTGTCTTGAACGCACCGTGTTGGTCTCCATCCTCAATTGCTTGATCCACTTCAGACAGGAATTGGCAGAGCCTGTCCTTCTGAGTTTGCTTCACTGCGTCTTTGTCCTTTTCCTGATACAACACCTGATGATGTACTGGCTCTGCGTTCCCCATAGACGGAGTCGGTTGTGCCGGATTGGCTAGTTGCGGCTGTGCCGTGAGATCCAGTGTGGTCGGCGCCAAGTTCGACGCTCCCGAGGCCGAGACGTCGGCCTGTCCCTGTGTCGCTGAACTGGACCGCCACATGCGTCTGGTCACCGACTTCAAGGGTACTTGCTGAGTTGCCGCAACTTTTGAGTAAAAAGGTTGACTGCTTGGCGCAGGAGCGAGTCCCAAGATGTGGGATCAGAGCGGGTACCAGAACCCATTGTCGCATAGCTTGCGATCTTTCATCTCCAATGCGGACAGAAGACTGCAGTGCTAGGTTGTCATGAGGGAAATGTTCAGTGGTCTGCCGTGGCAACGTCCAGTGACGCATAATCGGGATTGCGGCAGCGACCGGGAGATAGCCGCGATTCTTCCAGCTGCCTTAGTAGAAAAATGCAACCGGGGCCGCCCTTTTTGCTTGGGACCCTGGGCACGGTTCCCTGGTGAATATGAAGTCAATCTGCGTGCGAGCGTCGCCTTGCACATAAGTGAAGGGATCACGGCAATGCCATGTGTTCAGGGACGGAGCCTGCGTACCAGGTTCGTCAGATTTGCTTCGTCCGGCCTCTTTTCTGTCGGCTGTGCCGTTTTCGGGCCGATGAGCGACTATGTCGTGGTCAAGGATGAGTTGAAATCGCCGGCCACTATGAGAGTGTCGCGCTTCGGCACTTGCTGCATAGCTTTAGTGAGAGCTGAGAGGACGGCAGATCTGTCTCCCCTGTTGTCCTGCTGCGTTTTGTAAGACGACCAAACGTGCTGATAGACAGCCAAAATGGCTTTTCGAGCACCTGCCCAGTAGTCCCGGACATCCAGTACCTGACCCGTAATCCATTCTTTCCATCGGATTTGGGCTTTGTTAAATCGCGGCGAAAACAAGACCATTAAGCCATCAGCTGCAGTTATGGAAGGAGCCTTGCCATCCGAGTCCACAGAAGTTTTGCCTCTTGCCCAGGCCTGCCTGCTATTGACTGTCTTTTTGCTGGCTGAAGAAACGCAGTACCACCCTGAGACAGTAAATTCCGTGGATTCCTGCCATTGCGTCTCCTGCAGAACCAGAATATCGCAGAACTTCTCAACTTCTAACTGCAACCAAGTCTTTATTTCACTGTCCGAGATGCCCAGCGTTCCACGACATGACACGCACTGGGCGACTGAGCTGATCCGCTCGACGCGAAAGCAAAGGCTGTGGACTCGGTCCGACAGTTTCCTGTGCGACGGAGCAACTGCGGGGTCAGAGGCTGTCCTCGGTAGGGCACGGGAGACTGACGCTGCATTACTCTTCTGCATACTCGTTTGAATGAATTCTTGTGCAGAGTCGAAAAATTCTGCGAGTGTACTGGAAGCAACGCCATCCGCTGTTCTCGCTTCTTTAAAAGTATGCGTTGTAAGTGGAAAGAAACCCTACCGCCTCCCCGGCCCCAGTATTGCGATGTCTCAGACAAAGACTGGGGCCAGGAATTAGGACCTGGCAGATGAAGACCGGCGCAGCAAAGTGGCACATGGTTCAAAAAGTGGGGGTCAACTCACCAAACGGTTAAGAAGAGCGGCCTGGTATGGACCTTTAGAGAGTTGGAGCCCAAAGCCCGTTCGAAAGCCACGCGAGCTACCCTGCCAGTCTGATCCGTGGTGGCTGAGCCGGCAGCAGCAGCAGCGCAGCAACAACAACAACAACAGCAACAACAGCAGCAACATCAGCAGCAGTAGCAACAGCAACAGCAATCAGCGACAGTAGCAGCAGCAGCAGCAGCAGCAACAAAATCAACAGAAGCAACAGCGGCAAAAGCAACAGCATCAACAACATCAGTCGCAACAACAGCAGCAGCAACAGCAGCAGCAACAGCAGCAGCAGCAACAACAACAACAACAACAGCCGCAACAACAACAACAATAACAACAACAGCAGCAGCAGCAGCAACAACTCCTCGTACTGCCGGTGCTACTGGTCCTCCTCCTCCTCCTCCTCCTCCTACTACTACTACTACTACTACTACTACTACTACTACTTATACCCCTCCTACTACCACTACTACTACTATTATTA